TAAGATTTTCAAAATAGCATGAATTATCTGAGGTCGATTTTTTTTTTTTTTTTGAAGAAGTTGGATTTTTTTTTTTGCGCATTTTTACAAATTACCCAAAAAAACTGCCTAAAATCTTATCAAAAGATAAGAAGTAAATTAGTTAAATAGCATAATTCTTTTTAAAATTCTAAATAATATACTGACTGACTCTAATAATGCAACAAGTAACTAAATTTCATAAAATTTCAATGTCAATTACTGAATCATTTGTTAAGTTCGGAGATACATGACTCTCGTTGTTATACTTTCTAATATTTTAACATGTTGAATTGAACTATTTGCGAATTTCTGGACAGACCAAGATATTGATTATATTGTCAATAGACAATTGAAAGTATCCACAGTTCACCGGTTTTTAATGCTGGTATGGGATTTTTGTAAAATATTTTAAACATTATTAACATTATTAAATATTTTAATGTGAACTGGAAAGTTAGTTTCCATAACATTCTAAAACACTTCAAAGTATCTTTTATGAATTAGATAACTAAAATATTTGCATTTTACTTTGATAATGAGTAAATATAATATATCTAAAAATAAGACGTGCCCTTTTTAGTTTAAAAGTTATAGAAGCATTGGATACATTGTATTTTATTATTCAGACACACGTATTTTGTATCATTGACTCATTAAACCAATGTCTCAGTGGACCAATACATTTATTTTTATCTCGAAATTTGAAATTTGTCATAATCAATCTTAAATTTTAACCTATAAAAATGAAACTTGAAGCTAGATTTGCTTTTGTTTTTAAACATTTTAAGGAATATCAGTACACTTTAAACACGCCTTAATGTAAAAGGTGTACTCGGTTTACTCTGCCACGATTAGTTGATAACCAATTTGTAGGGGGGGGGGTAGTGGGGGGGGGGGGGGGGGGGGTAGTTGATAACCAATTTGTATGGGGGTGTCAAACTACTGTCCCTGAAGGCAGGGATGACAATTGCAAATAAAATATTAATTACATCAATATTTGTTTTATCTCTCTGAGGATGTTTTCAGTGGTAATTATGAACAAAAGATGTCCGAAAATGCACAAAATCGTAATGTTTAGACAACTTCACCAAGATATGATGATTTTGGATCATCTAGTATACCCTTGTGGAGAGATTAGTTTAGTTAGGCATTAAGGCTTTTGAATCATATATATTTAAAAACCTAATTGCGGCCTATTTATACTGTATAATAAAATTTTCAATTCAAGGCCATATTTTGATAAAAGTGAACTTTTGCATATTGTGAATTTAAATCTTGGTAATAAAATTGTTTTGGTAGGGTAATATTGAAACAACCATTAATGTTCAAAACTGCATGTGATATAATTACCTACTATCAAGTTTGCTACCCTTTAGAGTGGCTGTGATTTCCTTAGATAATAGCACCATTACCCCAATATGGAGTAGAAGGATAAATCCTATAGGATTGACTGAAGAAGAAAATGACAATGTGTCCAGACGTTGTGAACATTACGCTTCGTCATTCGTTCATGAGACTGCAAAATACCCGAATAATATATTAGAGAAAAAACCACATCTAGGAGTTAACATTAGACTTTCACCAATTGACAAGTGTCTATGCTATATGTCACACAGTAAATGAACCTTGCGATTAAATGAGATTACCAAAAGTCTGCCATTTTCAACAGATGTATTATTAAAATTTTCATTTCATATCCATAAAAGCAGATTTGAGATGTACGCCATTCAAGGAGACAGCCATCTTGGTGTCAACGACTGGTCTACGACCATACACAAGTGTTTGAAGCATATTCCCAATCTTAAAAATCAGTCTTAATCAAGACAGTCACCATTTTTCAATATTCTAATCTCAGAACACAAAAAACCTGCTTATAACAACAAATATCACATAGTGCAAGAATATCTGTATTACAGACAACAAAACTTCTGATATTGTTTCAAATGTCAAAGTCTGGTAAAATATGATTTCTTTTTAAATACGAAACAACTTCATTTGTAATATTATGATACTGGCCGCTTTACTTCTACACCGGATGTATACCCCAACAGGATAAACAGAGGAGAAATCGATATGTTGACAATGTAAAAACTAAATGTAAAAACTAAATGTAAAAAACTAAATGTAAAAACTAAATGTAAAAACTAAATAAGTAAATTGAATGTTAGTTCTAAAACAAATACACATGAAATAGTTTAGTCGAGTTGCACACTATGAATATGTGAATCGCTATCAATGACAATAAAAATACAAGACGCCACCATTATATTTATTACTATTATTTGTAAGCCTATTTAGCCTAAATAACATTAAACGTTCCAAATTTTACTGTACAAGACACGTGTTTTGACAATTAATTTTACTGTACAAGACACGTATTTTGACAATTAATGTCCTTTCACCAAGTAGAAAATTCAAAACTTTAACCAGTATTGAAGATCAGATTTTACCAAAAAGGACCAAATATAGCCAAAATCTCGAACAAGGAAAAGAGCTATGCGTCAGGAAGATGCATTTTTGATTTTAAAAGATTTCTTAAGTTTTATAACAGCAAATTTCAATAACACTAGATCCGTATTTCTTACCAGTACTGCAAAAAGAACAACTAAGGGCATACGGTACAGATGAGGTCTCTTGTTGGTTTTTCTTAAAAATTTGGAATAAGAGTAAATTTGATATGCACTATCGAAATATGCAATGACAATAGACCTGCATGATTTATTTTTTGGGGTTTTATTTTGACCAGCTTCAGGTGATAACACAAATTTTCATGTTTGAATTTTTGCCGAAAAAATTGCAAAGCTTTCAAACGAAAAGAGATTATATAGTCACCCGGTGTTTTGTTATATGGGCTTTTAATGTAATTAAGCAGTTGCAAATGAGTTAAGATAAAAAGGGTGTTAAATCCTGCATAACCTGTGACAGAAAGTCGTAGACAGCTTTCTTTTCTAAATACAAATTAATTCAGAAATAAAATATACGTTGATTTTTTTCTTGAAATTACAAAACATTTTCGAAACAGTACATAAGGATATAAGTAAATCTATGTCTACGTCTAAATGCTTGTTTTGGGGTCTTTGATTTTGTTTTTGGCTAAAAGCATTACTGTTTTTAGGCGGAAAATAACATCGTATTGTTAATGCCACATCTTCGTGTAGGCATTATCACAACGTTTAATATATTTTAGACATTTAATAAATACTTTTAGTGACAAAACAAAAAACAACCAGTTGTTAATTAAATTAATGTTCCAAGTAAATTTTAAATGCTTCCCTACACATCATCTTTTTTAGACTGCTTCCACATTTATACAAATAATTACATGACGTCTGCGTGTTTTCATGGAAATTCGAATGCATATCATTAGCAATGTCGCGAAAAGAATGTGTTATACTTAGATGAATCATTATCTGCCCCTGCTTATTTATCATATGCGCTTTAACAGACAATACATTTATATAATATTACATAAAATTAGACTTGAAATACCATTTTCAATTTTATTCCTGCAAAGGAATCATACTCTAACAATTAATCCCTATATCTGGAATACAATCAAGTAACTGTATGACAAGGATATTCTTGTCGTTAAAGCTTTTAAGTAATGAAAATATCGCGTTTTTCAAAACCTGATCCGTCAATACAAGCACATGCATATTGAACCTTTGAGAAATGAGCACTCCAATGGGACATTACCATCACCATTAAGGAAAGAATAATGGAAAAGCAATCCTGTTTGTCATTCATTTTGGTGCCAAACTTTTTGTGAAAAATTATTATTTCTAGATCCAATTTGAACATCATTTGCTTATGTTGGCTCTATCAAGAATACCTTTTGCTTGATATATTTCATTGCCTTTTATGTTCATGCATTGTTAAAAAACAATGGATGTTTTTGGATCCTTTTGGAGTTTAGTTATAAACAGAAAAGGAAGAAAAAGGCAATCACTAGGATACAATTAACAAATACTGTCTTGTCACCATATCACCTAAGAAGAACTAGAAAATACATAAACTTTCAACCAAAAGACAAAATGCTAAATATTTAAAATAATGTCATATTGTGATAGCAGCAGGCCTTTCATTTTCTTTTTATTCATGCCGGTTATACAATATTGAAATATGATAAGCCTTTTCTGAATGTGACTTAAGTTGGCTGTATTTAGTCTGGTGCATGCTAATTATTCAACAAATATTTGTGACACTGTATAATTAGTAGACCTCTACGTTACGTATGTAAAGTATTCGATACATCACAAAATAATAAGGTAATTACAATATTCTAAACATATGTTGTCTGCAATTTAGATGACAAATCAGTAGTATTTTGTTGAAAATTGGTTTAGATCCCCCTTGAGTTGTGATGTTTGGTCATCAACTAAAGAAAAATTGTTCAGCAAATTCTATATACTCCTGTGTACGAAAAGAGTTTAAAAGTATGTTATTTATTATTTAACTTATTAGTAATACCAATGTTAGGAAACTAACCGAACACAAAAACCATGATACCTGGTTCTGATACATGTATGAAATAACCGTCATCAATATAAATAAAAGATGTGCGGTATACGTAAATGATTCAAAAACAAATCAAAATATATCTGACAATCAACATATTATTTTCCAAAACAATACACCCAATATGTTAACCTCTAATCGCCCCGATTCTAAAGATAAAGTATAATAAAGAATATGCATAAGAAATCATCAAGGATACCAGGCTTACAATTTGGTACGCCATACGCGTGTTTCATCTAGATAAGACTCATCAATTGCTATCGAATCAAAACAATTGCACTGTCCAATTAAAAACGAAGTTAAAGATTATTAAAACTCACCAAAAAGTGGTAACGTATAAGTCAAAGAGTTAGGAAAGGCAAATAAATAAACATTTGAAAATATTAAAAACATAAAAACATAACAACCAAAGCCATTCTAGATTAACTTTGTCTTAAGGACTCTTACCTTTTCTTTTACAGGGTTTTAGATGATTAACTGGTAAAATATTGTCAACATGGTAGTTTAAAGCCGTAGTTGTGCCAGAAGTCGTTAACAAGAGTTGTCTGTGATCTTTCTATGGACTGGCTTTGTGTTATTGTTAAAATTTACATTTAACACATGTTAGTACCCAGTCAGTGATCGGACGAGGACTACAAAAGACCTATTGCTTCCATATGTCTTCTGGTGAACACGATGTGTTGTGCAAGTGAAACAAATGGAAAAGATATACCATAGTGACATTCGATGTTTGCATTTAAGTCATTGAATACATTGTATTACATCTTTCACAGTCGGTCAGGTACTATGGATGGGAATTCACCTGTACCGACGATTAGAAGTCGTCAAAGATATCAAGGCTTATGATTGAGTATACCAGACGTTCAATCATCAACATCATAAGTGAGGCATTACCTAACTTGTAATGTTGATGATACCGTATTGTATTAGGGTCAGAACATGCATCTTACAACGTTTATGTATGATGCATCACAGTATTTTTAGGAGACGGTTTTCACTAAACTGCTTCCAATTTTCACGAGGACCCGAGTACCCAATGCTCATAGTTTGCCTTTTTAACGTTTTTGATTCGAGCGACATTGTTGAGTCTTTTGTAGACGAAACGCGCGTCGAGCGTACAAAATTTTAAGCCTGATATCAATGATGAGTTTATTTAATGCTCATTTTTTCTTTTGCTATATAAAGGCAAAAGTAATATATCGCTGTTCAATAGTCTTGTTCACTATTGTTTTTTTTTTTCTTTCCAGCTTTCTTCTTTTGAGCAATGATTTTTATTGTCCCTTAATATTTTCTTTTTCAATACTGTCTTAGTAACTTTGTCAACTTTCACTTTTGATGTTTTTTCCACGGTTTTAGTTTGTAACCCGGATTTGTTTTCTCTTAATCGATTGGTGACTTTTGAACAGCGGTATACTACTGTTGTCTTTATTTGTCTAGTTGTCAGTTTTGTCTAGATTAACAACAAGGAGATTTGGTATGATTTTCAATGAGACAACTACCCAATTAAGGCCCCGTTATCTACTTTCATTATTATCTAGATTGTTATTTTCAGCCTTTGTTTAGGTTGTGTTGTCTACTTTCACATTTTCTTTAATCTCATGTCTGCACACTGTTGTCTAACTTGCTTTGCTACATTCTCTGCTTTCTAGTTGTTACAAATAATTGTTTGATATTTTTGTCTCATCTCCGGATTTATTTTGTTTAAGGATTAAATCTATTTTAAGTTAATCATCTTGAATTTGCTAATACTATGCAAAAAATCTCTTATGTAAATAATGTATTTCTTAAAGGCATCAAAAAATTAATTTTGAGCGGAAACACAATTGGAGTCTTTTTTTTTTTATTTCAAACATGATATAGTTCTACTCTTTCAAAACCAATTTGCCAGCATTGATCAACGTAAACGATATTGAAAAGGCCAATTTTCTTTTTTACCTAAATAGATGAAGGTCCTTAAAATATTCCAGGCTTATCATTTTGGTACACCAGACGCGTATAAGTCATGATCTGATACTGTTTCTTAAAAAAAAATCGTACAGGCAAAATGAATTACAATTAAAGTTGCCTTTCCATGAAGTTCGTTGAATAAAGTCAATCATGGGAAAAAATTAAATTATTTAACATATGTATATACATTGATCAGACTTATCTAAAATATTATATGTAAATAGCATGTTTAACATGAGGAGCACATGTTGTGTTTCATGAATAAAGATATTCCAGTATTGCATAAATGCATACCGAATTATGGAAAACATGATCCAGTTATGCCAAAAAAATGGGGGAAGTAGTAAATGAGAGAAAGAACAATGAGACTGGTATAAAAAGCACAAATCATTAGTTATTACCACGAAAAAACAAAAGTATTCCAATATTGTACTTAAATAAAACAAAATCCACGTAAATCTTGTAATTCGAACACAATGTTTACTAACCCTAACTATTTTGGTTGGTGACATGTAGCAAGATCTATTATTGGCACACTTAAAGATTATACAACTGGAAACCACAGCAATAATGAAACCAACAAACCATGATATATCATATAAATGTACAGGATCAAGTCAGAAATAGTTTCAGACAAAAGTACAAATACTTTTTAATTTAACCACAAAAATATTGGTCTGCGTAATATTTTCGAATAGTGCAAGCAGTGCATAAAACATGTTTTTTATGTAAATGTTAACTTAGTAGCTCTTACCTGTAACAAAGTACATGCTGTAACGGCGATTAAATAGATTGTATCTATAAGTACTGATCCAATGTTGCCTTTTTTAGAAACCTTTAACCGTTTTAGACATAGAATTATCATACCAATTTTGATTTACTTTTACTGAATTTTTACCTTCCGTAATCCACGAATTTTCTGGTTTCTCTTACTTATGTATGCATTTTAATATCATATTTCTTAGAAATGAATCACATATTTGATCGTCTAAAATTATCGCACGGAATACTTTGTCTAAGGTATATTGCAACTGAAATTTGGAAGTATTCAAAAATGGGAAATAAGTTTGATATAGACTACATAAGGGTCTGGATGGGGGTCCTTCATTTCTGTATTCTTTACTTTTAGGCCATTTTTCTCTATTTTCTATATTTTAGCACCTCATTATTCTCTATTCTTTTTTTGTTTGGTCAATTTTTCTCTATTCTTCATATTTTTTGTCCATTGTTCTCTATTCTGTAAACCCCACATCCATACAATCCTACATTTACATGAATTTAATTAGATACTATTAGTGACCTATTTACTTCCTTTTTTGTTCATCGGGTTTTATTTTTAATTTGGTTTATACAGTTTTTGAAAGAATATTAACGAAAATGAATTAAGAGGCAAATAAAGCTAGCCGATGTTTAAAAGTGTTTAATCCATTTTGAGTATACAAACCAAAAGAGAAAACCTGAACAAATCGCACGAACTCCGCATGGATCGAGCTCCAGTGCATCGAAAAAAGCATCCTCCAATGCATTTATCATTCACCGAATAAAGATATAGGGAAAAATTTACAAATCAGATGATTATTCTGCTATCTGTATATCTAGACCGCGAAAAGGTTTTCGTGAGTTGAAAAGCAAACACATCGTATCGGTCAACCAATCCGTGATGGTAACTGTAAAACTTACGTGTAATCATCTTTGAAGTCGTTCATCTGTGTGAATTTATAGAAAAGGATCCGGATATGTAGCAGACTTTTAAGGATCGTTTGTAACCTTAATGTCTAGTTTGGATTTATGAGAAATAATCACACGCTGAAATGTGGGTTAATGAGTGACATGACATCATCAATATATTTGGATGGGAAAAAATCTTGGCATGATACTTTCGTCTTTTGTCTTTGGGAAAATTTTGGATGAATTTTGCTTCATATAAAAATAATAACAAGCTGATTAACCGGATATAGAATATAGATGCTGCCTGGTAATAATCCCATTACTCTAGTTCTGCTACATTGTATTGTTTCTAAATCAGTAATTCATGTTCAGAACAAATCAAACGAAACTTTATAATTGATTTTATGAAGTTAATGAACAACTTTACCTTATACTTGAAAGCGTTTATTAAAATTCAATGCAATATCAAATATTTTAAAATAAACTTATCTAGTACACTTATCTTGTGCCTTTTCAATGACCTTAAAATGTAGGATATAAGAAGTAACAAACATTATCTTTCATATTACATTATATAACTTATGCAGCTATACACAGCAAAATAACCCAAACGTCAAAGATAACTAACAAAGAAAAGGACAAATGAACTAATAAAACCCAGAGAGACAATGCATGCATACAAAACAAACAACAAAAAATAATAGGATTTCTTTCATGCACAAATTCACGGTAAACTGTTTGATTTAATTTCACTTACAGGTATATTGATGATGTTCTTTCCATTAACCACCCCAAACTTTTCTGATTGGGTCCCATTGATATATCCTCCTGAACTACAGATTGAATAAACCACATATACAGCTTCCTGTGCCTCATTTCTATATATATACCTAGAATTTGACTACAGCGGTCATCTCAACACTTGTTAGAATCTAGTACAAACGTGACGATTTCAATTTAGAAATTATAAATTTTCCTCACCTTAGTAGCAATATATCAACTTCACACGTATTAGGAGTATACATTTTCCAACTCATACGATCGTCAATAGCTTGCAGCTGATGCTCAGACTTTGTAAAACGCCATCGGTGTCTGAGCAAAACAATTATGAGCCAGGGTTCTGTCAAAGAACGTCTCGTTTTTTCTCTGAAAAAGTTCATCGGAAAGTACCTAGACCTAATAGATAACTGTTCATAATCCCTGTTCAATTTATTCCTAACTTTTCTCGGCCGATTTAGAGCTTAGCGTTTTGTATTAATTAATATCGACACTAACAAATACGAGAAATATCGACACTAACAAATACGAGAAATATCGACACTAGCAAATACGAGAAATATCGACACTAACAAAGACGAGAAATATCGACAATAACAAATACGAGAAATATCGACACTAGCAAATACGAGAAATATCGACACTAACAAAGACGAGAAATATCGACACTAACAAATACGAGAAATATCGACACTAACAAATACGAGAAAAGTAAGTGTACAAATAAACAACGAATGTAAACAATGACATATCCAAAATAAAAAAGGAAAAGGGAATGTGCTTTACAAAAAAGAGACAATAATTCAGATATCCAGATAAACAGCGAAAACAATTCAGATATCTAGATAAACAGCGAGAAAAATTCAGATATCAAGATAAACAGCGAGAATAATTCAGATATCCAGATAAACAGAGAGAAAAATTCAGATATCCAGATAAACAGCGAGAATAATTCAGATATCCAGATAAACAGAGAGAACAATTCAGATATCCAGATAAATAGCGAGAACAATTCAGGTATTCAAATAAACAGAGAGAACAATTCAGATATCCAGATAAACAGAGAGAACAATTCAGAAAACCAGATAAATAACGAGAACAATTCAGATATTCAAATAAACAGAGAGAACAATTCAGATATCTAGATAAACAACAGAGATAATAATTTAGATAAACAGAGAGATCAATTGAGATATCCAAATAAACAGAGAGAACAATTCAGATATCTAGATAAATAAAGATAACGATTCAGATATCCAGATATACAACAGAGATAATTATTCAAATATCCTGATAAAGAACATACAGAAAGATGCAGAATTCCATCTTAACTAGAATTAAAGAATAAAGAAAACGGAGGACTGAAAGACATAAAATAAAGAACATCAATATTTTACCATTAATAAAAGGTTTAAAAAATATGCCTGTACCGTGTATGTTCTATACTGTTTATGCTCTATGCCGCCATGAGTTTAGACACAAAAAGTAAGAAGCAAATCAAGAAGCAAAACAAAAGTCGAAAACGAGAGGAAAAACATTTACAAATATCAGTTCAAAACACTACAAAGAAAATCTTAAGATACCTACAAAAATAGATATGAATTCAAATCTTCCTCTTGTTGTCTCTATTCAAACCATCATTCTCTTTAATATTTGCATTACAAATACGAAAGCCAAGTCTAGCACGGAGTACACGCTTATTCATATTAATCGATACCAATTTTACTGCACATGATGCGAATAGTCAAGCTTCGGTGGTGATGGAGACCAAAATGTTTGCAAATCCAAAATCAAATACAAAGGTTGAAGAGTAGATATAACTGAAAAGGACCAAAACTATGGCTAAAGCAGGACCAAATTTAAAGAAGCTTTCTTACCCTCGGATAGTGTTCTTCCTAGTACATGTCATAGTGCAACATCAAGAACAATGCGGAGAAACATGAACAGTTGCTACTCCTTAAGCAAAATTGTGAGCACTATTCTAATACACACTTTTATTAGAATTATATTTTCAATAAACCCCTTAATTTTTTATCACATCACATGAAGTTAAAGTTTCGACCTTTTTTCAAATCTGTGTATCCCTGTGGTAATAATAATTTGACAATGCATACATTATCCATTGAAACCTGAAACTTCATTGCAATGCGCGCATATTAAACAAAATGAGAAAGGTTTATTTCGTAAACCAACGGAATATAGCCATCAAGAAATGGAAAATTACAATGAAACAGGAACTGTCTAACCCTCTATTAAAACATTTGTACTAAGACTACCATGCGAAATTTTAATGTCAAAGACTAAACAGCGACAATATTTTTTTAACGTTGTATTTAGTAATTATTATTTCAGATAAATAAATGTAACTATAAAAATAAGAAGATGTGGTAGTATTGCCAATGAGAAAACTCTCCACCAGAGACCAAATGCTATAGAAGTTAACAACTATAGGTCATCGTACGGCCTTCAACAATGAGCAAAACCCATACCGCATAGTCAGCTATAAAGGGACCCGAACTAGTATGAGTATATAAATGTTAGAGGGTATAATTCGTCTAGACAGTCTCTCTTACAAGCAAAAAGATACAAGTGCATGAATTTGATATAGAATTCTCGTACGGTTTTTTTTCAAAGGTTTCCACATTACAAAAGACTCATACTTACCAAAAACTAGAGGCTCTAAAGAGCTGTGTTGCTCACCTAGGTTTATGTGCATCTTCAACAATAGATACTCTCAATCTTCTAGAATAGAACTCATGACAAGAATATCTTCTTTGTTGATCTAGTCTTGCTGATCATTTTTGCTTATTTAAGTTTCTATCTATAGTTTTTCAGATGGTAGGTAA